TCCCACCTCCACGGCAAGATAATGTTGATTAAATCAACATTCCTAAGAAAACCCGCTTCGTTAGAGATGTTGTTAAGTGTTTTGGACGAAACTTTTGCAAGACAAAGATCCGCATACGAGTTTGAAGATATTTTTAACAATATCTCGTACAAAAGATCAGAAGGAAGCGACTCGAGATTCGCCATAGGGTTTAGCGGGATGGGAAATGAATCGTCTCGGTTGTGGTATTTATAGAGAACTCACAAGAGAACTCGAAGCGACTCGAGTCAATAGAAGTTCTCGAAATCGATGCGACTGTTCGTTGGAAAATGCATCAAGAGAAGTTCTCTAAATCGATGCGACGGTTCATTGGTAACGGTTTATGGTTACCGTTACCTTAGTCTACCATATGGACGAAAATTGCAAGACGTACAACACTGCAACCATAAGTCTACCAAACAGTAGGTTTTTTTGTTCATAGAACAATTCTTTTGGACAAAAAAGTAATTTTACTCCATAAAGTCAAATGTCTGCCAAACATTAACTACTAAGTCTACTTCAAGCATGACAAATAACTCTACCATATAAACAAGTCTACCATAAGCATGTCATATGTCTACCAGATCAAGGTTAACTCTGTAAATACCAAACTTAATTAATCTACCACATTGTTATTTCAAAAAGTCTACCATACGGCCGATAAGTCTACCAGATTACATAAACTCTACCAAACATACAAACAAATCTACCAACATCTTGTAAGTCTACTTCATGTCATTATTAATCTACCACAAATCAGAATGAAATTTATTTAGAATATAAGTCTACCACAAAACAAACATATCTACCACAAAACAAATAAATCTACCAACAGTTTTTAAGTCTACCTCATGTAACATATAATCTACCACTCACCGGAATGAATTTTAAGTGAAACAAGTCTACCACAAGTCAAACAAATCTACTACAATAGCTAAAACTCTACCAACTATATATAACTCTACCATTAAACAGATATATCTACCGCTACAACTATATATACAACTTTTTTCACATAAATCTATCGCTAAAGGAAATAAGTCTACCAACTCAGAAAATAAATCTACTTCATTGTCAATAAATCTACCGAAAAAGTCAACTATGCGAGAAAGTCAACACTTTTGTTAACAAGTCTACCAAAACTTTTGACAAGTCTGCCATTCATAACAACAAATCTACCGAAACATAATAAATCTACCTCTCATCGTCAAAACTCTACCAAGAAAAGTCTACCAACATTTAAAAACTCTACCAACTCTTGAACAAATCTACCATCGCCCTAATAACTCTACCAACAAAATTTCTGCGTTGACCAAATTTTCATAAGTCTACCGCCATTGCTTGGTAGACTTATTAATTTTTGAGCGCATAAATCTGCCTACGTGGCAGTAAAAAAGTAATGGCATTTTCGTAATAAGGTTTTTTTCAACAAAGGCGAAAAGGGTGTTTTGGGTATGTTAGGTTAGTTTTGTAAAAAAATAAAAGTGCGTCGAACCAGTAATATAGATACTTTCTAAGGTTAGTGTAGTAATCCTCCCATGATAAAATGAGACTCAAGATGCACAAGAGAAAATAAGAACATAGAGAACAAAGTTGGATAACACTAAACCCCTCCCACACACTTAAATAATACAGTCTCCTGTGTTATAAAAGTATGAGAAAGAGGATAAACAAACATGAAATGCAAAAGATAAAGAAAAATGCTAAATACTCATGTACAAGTGTTTGGAGTGATACCTTCTTATGGACTTGGAGATGGGGTTGGAGAAAGCTGGAGCAAGAGTCTCTTGTCTTCTGTTCAGCCTGGGTAAAAGGGCGTTCCAAGTCGCTCTGGGCATGATTTCCCCGATGTTGAACCCGGAGTGTGCTCCATTATCTCAAGACTGAGTTTACACCGGGTCGCATTTGTCCAAGGTTCTGCCCGGTGTGGCTAATGCACGTTTCGAGGCTAGGACCACTCAGTGATGCATGTCTCCGATGTTAACCTCGGTGTAAAACACCACGCTTGAGGTGAGGTTTACACCTCGGTCTTTTGATGGTTGAGAAAGATTGAAACTTGCTTGAATCCTAAGTTGTTTAACTACATGTCTAGAGCTCTAAGTTTCATCATATTTATATCATCATCATCTTGTGCTGTCTTTGTTTATTGCTTTGTTTGCATTTTAATCCTATTTTTAGTCCCGTTTAGGTTTCATTTGTTACTTGTTACAACCAATCTACTTATTTCCTTGGATTATGACACAAACATGATAGACTAGTGTATTAAACCACATTGTTGGATTGATATCCCTCTATACTACAACAGATAAAGGAGATTGATACCCTAAGAGCTTGAAAACTCTTGTCTATTAATTGGGGCCGTTGCCAGGGCCAAAACGTGTACTGTGGTATGCGAGAAAAACCTGCCTCCGGTACGTGGTTTGTCCCATACACTCTACAATGCCAATTTCATCATTTTTGCTCCTTTTTTCACCATTTTTTCACCTGTATTTCCACTCCAAATGACCTCCAAAGTACTTATTTGACATTCTAAACATGCAAGACTTACTTGGACTAATGCAAATTCCTAAATGCTAAAATAATGCCTAAGAGCATCATTATCGGTAAATCTATAATGGATTTCTTAATAATTTTTTATTATTATATTTGGATTAAGAACCCTTCTTTAGAAATTCAATGTATTGTATGTTACAATGCTAAAAACATAGGTTCTTAAAAAAATATTTAATAATTTTTTTGTTTTATACTAAAGTTTTTTTGTTTCCCTCATTTCACAGCATCTATATACTCTAACTAATATTTGTATAAAATCATATTAAACAAATCAGAAGATCGAAACAAAGTAAACGATGTTAGTCAAACGCATCTTGGTTAGCTACAATGAAATTAATTTACACAAGACCATGATAAACTAGTAATGAGATTCTGTTTGGATTTTAGTTTTAATCGATACCATGATAACTAGTAATGAGATTCTGTTTGGATTTTAGTTTTAATCGATGAGTATAACTTAACATATGAATAGATTTTCTTATGTTGATAAAAAATGTGAGTTCTTTTGCTCCATTAGCTCGGAATGTTTGAAGAACAGAATTGAAATCAAGATGAATCTTCAAATGATCCAACAAATACAATGCCTTATTCTCAGATAAGTTGATTAAGCAGAGTACTACTTACATAAAATCCGTATAGGATAGCCAACAACATCGTTATTCTCAGTAACAACAGTTTACCATGTTGTTCTATATCTGTGTTAGAAAGATTGAGACTTACTTGATACCCAAATAAATATGCTCTTGAATACCAAAACCGAAGCAATCAGTGTCGCTAAAGTTCCTTCTCAAAAGTTCGTATTCTTTAACTTTCTGCCCACTCTCCATGAGTTGCATTGCCTTGTCTCCCCTGACAGTCACGTAGCAAGCAATCTTCTCGTTACGTCCGATACCAAAAGAACGAACAGTGTACTGTGCTGCAAAACGGACACATGCGTTTAGATTATATCAGAAAAAGTTTGAGTAATATACATTTGGCGGCAATCCGCTGATAAATATTAGATCCAGCTGAGGCATCTTCAGAACAGAATACAAACTGAAAAGAAACTGCAGAACCATAGAGCCTTCGTCCCTTTCTCTGATAAGATCCACATGATCAAGTAACAGGTATACCATCTTCACCATGGGTTTTTCATCCTGCTTATTCAATCATGAGATTCTGGAAGCAAACTCTAGCGTTTCTATCACATCACTAAGGGCTTGTCGAAGCAAGTTGACAAAATCAGATGTGAGTGATACCATCTCTCAATGTGATACAACTGAGCATTAAAACTCAAAACAAGAGGTTTGCACAAGTGAAGAGATGAAACTGAAAGAATAAAATGCTATAACCACATGTGCTAAAGTTTCAAAGCAAATCAATGTGAACCATCTTTCTCCAAGTTGCAGTCGGATATATTTTTTTTCTCAGAGGCATTAACGAGCGAAAGGAAAAAGAAGAGACTATGGAGAGGAAGCCATTCCAAATCAAACACAGAAAGAAGATATACCTATATCAGAGTGAGACCAGTAAAACCTAGCAGAAACATGAATTTAAGTCTTGTACGATTTAAGAAACACTTGCACACACATAAGACACTGTCAAATTCAGATATGTTCTTTACTTTCCACTGAAAGATTACAGATGTCTGATTGAAACCGACACTTGGAGACAAGACAACGAAACAGATCGAGCATTAGACTTATCAAGAAAAAACCCTTCGTATATAACAAACACGGGTCTCTCTTTACATCTTTATTATATGTTCGTGACCCAAAACATAATAATAACTCTGTAACTATATTGAGCAAAGGAATCGCAACCCTTAATCAATCAGAAGAAGTAAACAACAGAAGATTGAGAAAACCAAAAAAAAAAAAAAATTCAGAGTTTTTGACAGAAGAAGCAAACCTGGAAGCGAGCAATTAAGGAGATGGGATTGAAGAAGATAGCAGTGAATCAATCAATCAATCACAAATTGAGAAATACGAAGCCAAAAAGTGAAGATCTTTCCAAGAAGGAAAATTGCTCGAAGGAAGAAAAATTTCCTAGAAGAAAAATGGTCGAAAACAGAATAAAATTGGTCGAGGAAAATTTGGTCGCAGAAATGAGAAATGGCTGAGAAGTTATTGCCTAATGTAGTAGTGACACTTGTCTTCTAAGAGCCCATCCTTAAGTCCCCAAATAAGTAAGAGTCGATCTTTAAAATTTTGAGGTTTTTTATTTAACTAAATCACTGAAACCCCTAAGAAATCCAGTTAAGGACTCCCGATAATGATGGTCTAAGTACCTAAAATTATATGTAAAATGTATACATGGAACTATGAATTGTGACTAAAAATGCATACTAATTGAGTCATCTTATGAATATATAACTTCTTGACATGAGTGGACAAAGATTCAAACTTGGCGTTTAGATCATTGTACATACAATCAACCTTAACGTTGATATCCTTGGTCATGACAAGCTGTTGGATCGATTGCTCGAGTCTTCCAATTTGAGAAGCAAGTTGGTTCGTGGTCAATCCTTGCTGCTGTCAGTATTGGTTGACAACAGTAGTTGTAAGGGTGTTGAGGTCGTAGTTTCTGATTTGAAACTTGTTTTGGAATGGTCTTTGTGCTGCGGGTATTGCTGATCTTGGGGGTTCTCCACGTTCTGGATACGGTAAGTGATGTTGATGAAGTGGGAAACTACAAGTGTTATCCTAAACAAAGTTGCAAGTGCATAGCAAACACAATAGTACTTAAAAAATAGATGGAGAGTCAATCAAAAAGAAATGAGGATTCTATTAACAAGCTATCCACCCTTTTTCTTCTCCAGATTAGTGATGAATCAAAGGAGACGGATTCCTCCATTAATGACCTTGATGAACCTTTTTCTGAAAGAATAAATGAATTGGAGACCTCTGATCAATTAAAAGCGATTACCCTCAGGAGTGGTTTAGCTTACAAGGAGCCAAAGTACCCAAAGGATTTCGAAGAAGGAGAAAAAGGAGGAGATTTGGCTAATAAAAAAGGAGATGCAGTAGTCAGGAAAGAAGGAGAAAAGGAAAAGGAAGACATTCCTCAAGGAATTGCTGAAGAGGAACCTATACCGCCTCCTCTTACTTGTGTGTACAAGCCCAAACCACCATACCCACGAGCTTTGAAAGGGCCAAAGAAGGAGAAATAAAGGGCTAAGCTAAAAGAGATAATCGAGCAGTTAAATGTGAGATTACCTTTCATTGAAGCTTGTGCAATGATACCTGCTCTTAGGAAATACATGAAGGGCATTCTAACAAATTCTTTAGCATTAGAAGAAAGCATTATGATGATAACTCATGAATGTAGTTCTATTTTACAAAACCATGTTCCCCAGAAGAAAGAAGATCCGGGAAGTTTTGTACTCTCTTGCACAATCAGAAATATCACTTTCAAACGTTGTCTATGTGATTTGGGATCGAGAATCAACATGATGCCTCTCTCAGTTGCAAAACGTTTAGGATATCATACTTTCCAGCCCACAAAAATCTCCCTGATTCTTGCCGATCGATCAGTCAGACGGGCAGAAGGAGTCTTGGTTGATGTATCGGTCATGGTTGGAGAAAACGGTATTCCAACTGATTTCGTAGTGCTTGAACTAGAAAGAGAACCAAAAGACCCTCTGATTCTCGGTAGACCTTTCCTATCAACTGCAAGAGCAATAATCAATGTTCCAGAAGGAAAGATAGACCTCCATTTAGAGAGTCTTATTATGCAGTTCGATTTGGAAAAAAGTCTTGAAAAGCCCACTTTAGATGGCGGACTTTGTCGGGTTGATGAGCTTGATGTAATTACTGGGGAAGTTTATGAGGAAATCCTTCTTGACGACCCTTTAAAATCTACCTTGTGATCATCCTCTCGGTCATCACCATGATATGATTCGTCATGGTCATCTTCGTGATCCGTATTATCACGATTAATACGATTCGTCGGCCATCCTTAGTGTTCTCTTAAGTCTTTGGAGTTCTCTCTCGTGTTTGTCAATCTCGCCTATCATTGGAACGGTTTCAGCAGGTCTTCGCCTGGTATTCTGATATATTGATAATTTAGCATGTTTTAGCATACATTTCATATAGGTTTTAAGTCTTAATCATGCATTTCATTGTTTTGATGTTGATTTCATTTAGTTTGAGTCTAATTAGGAATTGCATTAGGTCATAGGGAGTCTTGCATTTTTTGGAGTATTTCCTAGGTGTCTTGGAGGCTTATGGAATCTAAGGAATGGAAAACATTAAGGAAAAAGTGAAAAAGATGAAAAGAAGATGAAAAAATCAACCTAAAACTCAGTCTCGGCAAAAATGCACATTTAGGACGGTGTCTGGTGGCTAAAATGCAACTCAGTACGTATCACAGGACGTTTCTCTCAGCAAAACTCCTTGCCGTGGTACATGGTGTCTCGGCTAAGGCTAAATCTTCCTGAATGCTTCAAAGATCGATCAAGATGGGGGCTTTTCACGCCGAATCAGCCTTGGAAGTCTTCAGTAAAGTTGAAGGCCAGAGACTCACGGTTCTAATTCAGTTGGTCTCGTACCGTTTGGAGCCCTAAATTGGAAGTTACAGCTGTCGCCGTGATTTCTTGGCGATAATCATGAACTTAACAATCTCGGGGCGAAAATCATGGCCTCATAAATCGTTCAGAATGGAGCCCTTCCCAATCAATGTGGAGGGACATTGCAGCTATCCTTCGCATTTGTATCTGAAGTAGGCCCACTAGTTGGCTATGATGGTCTCCTGAGAAGTGGTAGGTTTATAAGTCCTTGTGTCGTAGGAGTTGGAATTACACAATTTGGATCTCTGGTTGGAAAGATATAGTCCTCGCCCTCTTACATATCCGTCTGGCGTGCCTAAAGTCCTCGCCCTTTAACATATCCGTCCTTTCCAATCTTCTTCTTGAACTTTGTAGTTACCTCTTGCCTTGTGAATCCAAACTCTCTCTACTTCCGCAGAGACATACTTCTGCAAGTGCACAGCAGTGCGTAGTAGTAATTAGGGTATCAATCCACATGGAGGCAAGACTTCTTCTGCAAAACTGTATGAAAGAGTAATGGTATGGAAGTATAGAACTAAAAATTTTTAAAGGGGTTTTGGGTGTCATAAAAAAGTAAATCTAAAACTAAGCAGGAAAAGTAAAATTTATTTTTAAAATCGGTGTAGACTAATGAAAAATGGACGTTGGTTGTTCGGGATTTCTCATGGGTATGTAGATTTAAACTGATAGTAGGATTTTAGCCTACTAAGGTCAATTAACCTCTTGTGTTGTATCACTTGAGGGTCAATCCAAATGGAGAGATTCTAGACACCAAGACTATGAGGATCAATTCTTAGTCCTAACAAGTGAATGATTGGTAACCAAGATGATCTAAAAAACATAAAACAAATCAAGGAGGAAGCAATAATTAAGAATAAGCAAACAAGAGAAATTCAAAACTCAAATTCAAGTAAAGAGAAAGCTAAATCTCTAGATGTGATCATTGATCAGGGTGCTTTAAATGTGAATTCATTATGCTAAGAAAACAATGCAAAACTTGCAATTCTTTAGTCTAGACTTCGAAAGCAGATTAATTCATTCCCAAGACAAAAATCCCTTTGCAAATTACTTAATCAAGACTAGTTCCCATTAGTGAATAAGCAATTAACAAGCATAAGGTTCCAAGTCTAATGTGACCAAACAGCCTCTTTGTGCATCAACATAAAAGCTAAGAAAGACTGAATATTATACAGAAAGATAAAGCAAGAATCATATGATGTGAAATTCCAATCAACATAGAACTCAAAGCAAGACCATTTCTTTCCCAAGACAATGATCACTATACTAATCAGCATTCAAACCTAACTCTCATTGGTGGTAATGATGATCAATATGCATTGATAAATAGTTCTAATATGTCATTTATGCTTCAAACAAACATCCTCATGGCATTTAAAACATAAACCCTTAAGTTAGCTCATTCAGGCATTTCATCAAACAACTTGTGGGTGGAGAAATGCCTAAGTTCTAGACTACAGTGATTATCAAAGATCTAGCATTAAGTGCCCAAACATCATAAATCAAACCGAAACTAGCACCAGGGTGCATTATCTCGGTGTGGTCCTCGCTGTGGGTCTCAATGTAGCAAAATCCTCAAGGTATGGCCAACACCGAGGTCAGTCTTCCCGGTGTTCATCTCGGTGCCTGGAAGCTCTCTGTACTTAAACCATTTTAACTCTTTGCTCAGTACTCCAAATGACACAAGATCAAGTCCATAGGAAAGATAACTCAACCAGCTCGAAGTTTGGTGAAGACCCTGATTGCATCCGGGGAAGGGAAGGTCTCCCGGACGGCTGATCTTTGACTGGACCGGAATGCTCCAGAAAAGGCTTCTGAATAAGGGTTCACTCCGGAAAGGTTATCTCCCAGCTCAGAGCTCTAAATCGTGTGATCTGAAGCGTTCTGTAAAGAAGACTCAAGCTCTTGAATATTAGTGAAGGGCCCGGAAAATTAATCGGAGAGGAAGAGCATCGTCCTGCATAATCTCTTAAGCACATTGGATCGGTCTGGAATGCAAGCGAGACAGGTGTGCCTTCTGTTGGCCATAACTCTCAGCTTACTGATCCGAATCCACTAACTCCAACTGTTCTGGAACTACGAGTCAATCCTCTCCAACTTTGGTGAAGATTGTGGAAGCTGAATCGGACGACAAGGTTCCCCGGACAGGCGATTTTTGAGATGTATGGGCACAACAAGTTTTAGCCGAGAAACTTAAGCATCCGGTACGTGTTTTAGCCGAGAAATCCTGCCCACGGGATGGATTTTAGGCGAGAAACATCATCATAGGGTACAGTGTTTTGCCGATGAACTAAAATGGTTCTTTCACCATTTGTGATCCTTTCTCCACCATTTTAACACCTGGTCTCATCTCTCCACTCCAAATAAGCTCCAAAATAAACCTGTTTAACACTCCAAACCATGCAGAACTCTCTTGGACCTAATGCAAGCTCCTAAGTTCTAAATCAATGCTTAAAGACCCAAAATTTATGCAAATGAGACATGATTTGGATTTAAATATGTGCACTAAATGATGCATTTTATAC